AAGCTTCAATGAAATGAATCAATGTTGGAGTTGTCAATGTTTTGCATCTTGTAGGAGTAGGATCATAATTTGAAAAAAATTTCCTTTATCAGGATTAAGATTGCTGGTTGAGGTTTTCTTCTTGGAAACCAAAACAACATAATCGGGGATCGTTTTCTTTTCTAGTTAGCAGCATTGTCATCCTTTTGTTCATAGACAATGGAAATAGCATATGTGTATGTGATATGTATAGAGTAAATGGTTCAACAATGAAAAAGATATTAGGTTGTAGAAATTGTTTAGCTTATGGTTTGGAAATATGATTGTTTGGTTTTCAGTTCATGAAGAAACTTCTGAGGATGAGAGGAAGACAAGGCTTGGGTCTCTTAAGCAGAAGGCAATCAATGCCTCCTCCAAGTTTAGGCATTCCTTTACTAAGAAGGGACGAAGAAACAGCAGGGTAATGTCTGTCCCAATTGAGGACAACATTGATGCAGAGGAGTTACAGGCAGTGGACGCATTTCGCCAAGCACTTATCTTGGAAGAACTACTGCCCTCAAAACATGATGATCATCACATGATGCTAAGGTTACTTATTCAATGTTTTGGTTAGCATTGACGATCATTAGATGATCAAGTTTCTGTTAATTATGTGATTGCTTACTAAATTTTTATTTTCACGTACGATTGTGCAGATTTTTAAGGGCCAGGAAATTTGACATTGAAAAGGCAAAGCAAATGTGGGCTGACATGCTTCTGTGGAGAAAGGATTTTGGTGCTGACACTATTATGGAGGTATTCTATAATATGCTTTTATTGAACTTGCCATATCCTGGAGATCATCTAGGTCGCTACTATGTTTGTGCTTCCTAAATTTTTCCTTTGGTTATTTTGTTAAGGACTTCGATTTCAAGGAAATTGATGAAGTGTTGAAGTACTATCCCCAAGGACATCATGGAGTTGATAAGGAGGGACGACCTATCTACATTGAGAGGCTTGGTCAAGTCGATTCTACCAAGCTAATGCAAGTGACAACAATGGATCGTTATGTGAAGTACCACGTCCGGGAGTTCGAGAGGACCTTTGTGTGCAAATTCCCTGCATGTTCCATTGCAGCAAAGAAGCACATTGATCAGAGCACTACTATTCTGGATGTCCAAGGAGTGGTACATGAAAACTTTGTGTCTTAATCAGAATATTGTAGACAAACTAAGCTTTTAGTTCAATTTCAGATTGTAGCTAGATATTGGAGATCTGCTAGTGAGCACATCTAGTCTGTGGGATGTTAAAAATAATTGTTATATTGTTGTAGAGTTGGAGGAGACAATTTCATTTTTCTTTTTCCATCCATTTTAATCTCAAAAGAGATAATTTTTAGTTCATGTGATCGATGTGCAGGGGTTTAAACATTTCAACAAGTCTGCAAGGGAACTTATCCAGACCCTTAATAAGATTGATGGTGACAACTATCCTGAGGTATGTTATATCCTTTAAATATCATTTCAAATTTCATCAAACAAGCCTCTTGGTTTTGCTTGGTCTAGCATGTGTTGAAGAAAGTAAAAATGCCACATCAGAAACTAGACAAAATATATATGAGTGGTTCCACTACTAATAACACCGAGGCCTTTTGAGATATAACCCCACTCCTACTGAGCTATGCATGTCATGTAGTTTTCGTATTTTCTGACACTGATTGAAAGCTTGGTTCACTGTAGACCCTCAACCGTATGTTCATCATCAATGCTGGTTCTGGATTTAGACTTTTATGGAACACTGTGAAGTCTTTCCTTGATCCCAAGACCACTGCAAAAATCAATGTAATCATTTGTCTTTTCTCTAACTTAACCTGGTGCTAACCTATGATTTTGATATGTTACGGTGCTAAACGATTTGATGATTACACTCAGGTTCTGGGAAACAAATACCAGAGCAAGCTGCTTGAAATAATTGACGCTAGGTAAGTATCCCTTCCGGGCAAAATATATTTTCTTTCAACACATTTCATCATTCCATATATCTTTTAGTCTATATCTAGTTCAAGCTAAGTTTAGCAAGCCTTCTGATTCACATGATGCTGTAAGTTATCTGTTTAGTAACCGAATATCCTATTAACTTCGAATTTGTGCCATAACACGTTGTCATTATATTCGATACAGCGAGCTGCCAGAGTTTTTGGGTGGTACATGTACATGTGCTGATAAGGGTGGTTGTATGCGTTCTGATAAGGGTCCATGGAATGATCCAGATATAATTAAGGTGATTTACTCGGTTTCTCTTTAATTTTAGTATTTTTTGTCTATCTTTCATAGTCTAATATGAACAAAAGATTAAAATCAGTTATTTTGATGAGCCAGATGGTTCATAATGGTGAAGGAAAATGTCCGAGGAAGAGTTTGTCAGGAATTGATGAGAAGATAATTTCTGAAGATGAGAATGCATATTCAAAGGTACTCAAATCTTGGCTCAAGTTTGCCTTTCATTTTGTGTGTTTACGGCATCTCTTCAAACTGCCTTCTCTCAGTTTTTCTAAATGATCGATCACCTGATTTCTGTATGTTTTTTGCATGCTACCACATGAAGAGATATGATTCTCTGAAATCGAAAACCGTTCAAGAGGTTGACGTGCATTGCCAAGTGGAGCATCAAAGACTTTCTCATGTGCCTAGGGAAGTAAGCGTAGCAGACTTTCTATCCACATTTCACAATTGTGACTGGAACATGACAGTTCTGTGATACTTTGTTGTCTTTGCTACTTTTAGCATCATACTCTTAACTTGTTCAACTCACTAGGGGGTGGTTTGGAACCTTCATATTTTTTTTCATATCAGTCGAAATTCAGTTTTACAACCATTTTAGAAACTAGTGCGGATTCTGCAGTGCTGAGTCGCCTTTTATCAGTTGATGTACGCTCACTTTTCTTCATATTTTTCAGGTTCCAATGGCCAAGAAGGGCAATCGGGGCTATAAGCATGACAACTTCAGACCAATGGTTAGCAAGACTGTTGATTCAACTTGGCCTAAATCAGTTCATTATGATAAATATGCCCTTGGTGGAGGTATATACATAAAATTAATCCAATCAAGTATAATGCTTGTTCTTCCAAATGTTGATACTAATATATTTCTTTCTTCCAATGCTACAGATTGCTTCTCTGTGCATGATGCTTGCAAGGTTCCTGAAGGACTAACCAATCAATTACTTTCTGCAATCATGGCCTTTATCATGGGTATTGTCGCCATGGTTCGATTGGCACGAAGCATGCCGAGGAAACTCACTGAGGCTACCCTCTATGGAAACCCTGTTTACTACAATGGAATGGTGGTTAAAGGCCAACAGTTGCCTGCACCTGCCATCTCCAGCAATGACTACATGAACATGATGAAACGCATGGCCGAATTGGAGGAGAAAGTGAATGCTCTCAGCTCAAAACCCGCAGTCATGCCACCCGAGAAAGAGGACCTGCTGAATGTTGCTCTCAACCGAGTCAATGCCTTGGAACAAGAACTGTCAGCAACCAAGAAGGTAATCCATCTATTTCAAGATATATTCTTGGTTTCTTCTATTGAAGTTTGCATTTCCAGAAGCTAAAATGTGAACATGTTCATTTTTTTCTTTTTGTTTCCTTTTCGCAGGCACTTGAGGACACCCTTGTTCGACAGGACGAGCTTATAGCCTTGCTTGAGAAGAAGAATAAGAAAAAGAAGAAGAGAAGCAAGTTTGTATGTGACTGAAATACCTTCTTTTTGCTTAACCAGTTCAAGTTATGTACATTTCATATGAAGTTAAGTGTTCTCACCTTCTTGGTTTCTTTTTTTGGATTGTAATTGCAGAACCCTTTCAAATGGTAAGGTGATAGCTCCGGTGATTCGATTGGATGCCCTGGATGAACCACTGAACATTCAGTGTCAGCTGCTGGTGGCGACGTTTCGATGGTGAGCCCCACGGATGCTTTGTCAAATTGCATTCCCTCTTTGTTTGCTAGTTTGGTACTGTAAACTTAAAAAGCTTTTGTACATTATTGTGCAGTGTGTCTTTCCATTCAAAGTTGTGTATATTTTGACTTAAAATGGGCACCGCTTTAGTTTGACAAAGATTTCGAGGGTCCTCCTCTCTAGAGTCTAGCTTAGTTCCAGTTCAAAGTGCAAAGATTGTTCTACTAATGAAAGGTGGTAAAATGAGTAGACACTAGACAGGCAAAAGGGTTTAGGGACGAATTACGATAATGAGTATTTGGAACCATATCAGCACGGTTAGGTGAAAATTCTAACCATTTAAAAACAAATCAGTTTTTTTTAAATGACGAATTGTTATTGACACTTCAAAAAAGTCATCGACACACGTGTAAAAGTGCAAGATCATTATCATTTATCATTATTATGCTAAATAAAATGTATAAAATTGCTTCAAAATTTCTGTGGTCGATTATCTTTAAGCCTTAGTGAATATCTAAGAGCTCATTTGATAACCATTTCAATTTTTGTTTTTAGAGAGAGGATGGGAGGAAGAAGTAACAAAAGTAAAAACAAAAACTTGAAAGTGAACAATTTCAAATAGATTTCACTTTTTAAGTTTTTGTTTTCACTTATGTGTCCTACACATCCTCCCTCTCATCTTCCCTTTCAATCTCATCTCCACTTTCATTATCATTTCCATGGTTGCAAAAGTAGAGATTATCTTTAAGTCTTTGTTCGATTATTTTTCCTTGTTTTTTTCCTTCTATAATAGATAAAAAATGCACCAAAATAGCCATCATTATAATCGAATCTCTGATTACTCTTTTCAATATTTCCCGGAAAACGGTATAAGATTAAGCAAATCAAACTGCACAAACATCTTTCAAGAAAATAAAACTCAATTGTCATTTTCCATATCGTTCTCACTAAGACAGAAGTGGCATCATTTCAGATGATATATTCTGTGAGATCAAAGGTTGGTATGTCAAGTCAAGTACTCGTGTAGG